ATGGCCCCCAGGAACTTGTAGGGGTTCTAGGCCCCCATAGACTCCAGATGCTGAATCCCTGGAGATGGTGCCTGGGCATGAGGAGTGATAGAGGGCAGCCAGCAGGGCAGGCCACACAGCAGTCTCCGATCTCATCTCATTCCCCGCAGAAGGCAGTGTGGAGTGGCGGTCAGGCACCAGGCACTGCAGCCAGCCTGCCTACGACAGGGAAGGAAGCAGTCATCGGGTAAGAGTGAGTCCTGAGGAAGAGTCCCCGGCCCAGGGACACCAGAGGCAGACAGCAGACCTCCGGGGAGCACGCTTTATTTGCATCTCCCAGGACAGAGTTGGGGAGGGAGTCAGGGGATTTGGGGTTGAGGATGTGGCCAGGCTCAGGTCCTGGGACCCCAACCCCCTCCCCAACCCCAGGACTCAGCTGGAGTTGGAGGCTGGGCATGGGAAGCTCTGGGTGAAGGTCAGCATCTACTCCACACCCTTCATGAACTCCAGGAACTCTGTGGAAAGAGGGGCAGGTGTGGGTCGGGGGTGGGGGCTGGGCAGGGCATGGAGGCAGGGGACCAGCCCACCTACCCACTTACCATCATAGTCGATGCGGCCATCGTTGTTCTTGTCTCCGTCCTTCATGAGCTCCTCGATGTCGTCCTCCGTGATGGTCTCGCCTGTAGCCTGCAGCATCATCTTCAGCTCATCCAGGTCGATGTAGCCATCAGCGTTTCTGTGGGGAGGGGTCTCAGGGTAGGACTGTGGGGAGGGCATAAGGCAGCCCCACCCATGCCCCAGGAAGCAGAGCAGGGACACTGGGAGATGGGGCATCCCTCTCCCCAGTCAGGCAGAGGCCGCAGGGTCCCTAGGCCTGGAATCTGAGACCGCCCTCCTCTCCAGTTCGGCTTGAGTGTGGGTCAGGGTCAGAGGTCAAGGGTCACATGCTCACTTGTCAAACATGCGGAAGAGGTCAGACAGCTCCTCCTCAGATTTCCCTTTGCTGTCGTCCTTCATGCACCGAACCATCATGACCAGGAACTCATCAAAGTCCACCGTGCCGCTGCCTGGGGGTGGGCGGCATGGCCGTTACAGAGGCCAGGGTAGGTACTGCAGGCAGCACCTTCGACATGAACCCCCATGTTCTCACCGCACCCTCACACCAAATGCCAGGCTTCTGTGGCCATTATGCCCATTTTATAGATGAGGCAACTGAGGCTCAGATAGGCAAAACCGCTCCCAGCTAAACAGAGCCAGCATTCCAGCCACCAGCCAGCTGAGGTTCTTCTGGAGCCTGGGGAGGAGGGGGCTCACCGTCCTCGTCCACCTCGTCAATCATCTCCTGCAGCTCCTCAGGGGTGGGGTTCTGGCCCAGCATCCTCATCACCTTGCCCAGCTCCTTGGTGCTGATGCAGCCATCCTCAGCACCCAGCACGAAGATGTCAAAGGCTGCCTTGAACTCTGTGTTCAGGGGTTGGGGGGCACAGTAGTCAGGGCTCAGCAGCCAGGACCTCAGAAGGCCAGAACCCTGGGGCCCTCTGCCAACCTGCCCACCTCCCTCGGAGACCTCTCTGAGGTCAGAGCAAGAGGGACCAAGCCTCTGCTCTCTGGTCTGGGGTCCTCTTCTGGTAAGGGGTCCCCATGCCAGCCTGGCCCCGCTGGTCTCCCACATGTGTGATAGGGGTTCTCACCATTTTTCTGCTCTTCTGTCAGCTGCTCTACCTAGAAAGGAAAGGGAATCTCAGGGCTCAGACTCAGGTATAGCTGCTGCTGAGGAAACCAATCCATTCCACAGGTGAGAAGGCTGGAGCCGGAGGAGGCAGGCTATTTCCAGGCCACAGGGCGGAGGTCTCAGTCCTCCCTCCCTGCCCCCAAAGCCCTGATGTGACCCAGCTGGCCTCACTGAGACTGGGCTCAGGGCCAGGGTGACAGGTGGGCACCCCCTTCAGGGCCAAGGTGACTCTCAGTAACAATAGTCAGTGACCACTCAATGCCCTTTCAGCCCCTGATGAAACTCAAGCTGGGTGGCCCGAGGGACAGCTGTCCCTCAAGTTGGGACAATAAAACCAGTGTGGGGGCAGGCGAGCCACCCACTGTAACCTGACCAGGGTGGCCACTGGGCTATTTTTAATGAGGAACAAAGTTAAACCTGGTGATTGTTCTGGGGACTTTGGCATGCAGGGGGTGGGGCAGCGTTATCTGGCCCCCTGGCCTGCTAGTGCCGCCTCAGGAGCCAAAATTAGTCCCCAGCTCCGCCAGGCCTTGTATGGGCACTGGGTGGAGGGCTGCCCCCACTCCAGCTCCATGGACTCCCACAGGATAAGCAGACGTGCCCCCAGAGCTGGCTGTAGCACTTCCCTGCCCAGGAGTGAGAGAGGCTGAGGGAGGGGTTCCCCTGGGGACAGCTGTTCATTCCAGGATGTCCTTGCTCTGGGGTTGGGGGAGGTCACCACCACCCCTGGATAGAATAGCATCTAAAGACCCCCAGTGACCCAGGAGGCTGCAGGGGCTTGGGGTGACCACTCTCCAGCCCTTGTTCCCTCGCTCTCACTCCTAGCTAAGCCACTGAGTGCTGAGCCTGCCAGGCATGATGGGAGCTGGGGCCCCAGTTCTCTGTTCCTTCTTCCTTGGTTCTCCCTCATGTCCAGAACTTCCCTGCCTCAAACTTCAAAGCCCCATCTCCAGCCCAGGACTCAAGCTCTGCAGCCCACTCCTCTCACACCCTCCACCTCCCAAAGCATCTTCGGCCAGTCAAGGGGCTGGAGTGGGGTAGCAGATTTTGAGCATGTGAGAAGCATAATGTGAGGGGCAGAAATGGGGGTTGGGGACAGGGAGACAGTAATGGGGACTCAGACAGCTCAGGAAGAAGAGATGAAAAGAGAAAGGCAAAAATGTCCAGAGACAAATGCAGAGACATGTGGCTGAGCGACAGTGCCTCAGACTACAGACACTTGGAAACAGAGAGTGAGACATGATGCTGAAAGCTGCGACATCCTCCACCACCCTTCAGACCCTGAACTCCCATCCCTTCCACATCCCCAAACACCAGAACCACTGTCCCTGTGACAGCCTGGGTTGAAGGCACATAGGCTTTCTCCTGGGTCCCCACCACTTCCCTGGGGCTACTGGCCCCCCATTCTGAGCTGAGTGAGCCCCCAGTGGGCCTGCCCACCCCAGCCCTACCCAGCCCTGTCCCTCACCGCAGCCTTGTAGATGTCATCCATGCTGGCGGCTCACAGGACAGCCTGCTGGGGTTGCCAGCCGGCCCTTGACTTAAATAGCCCTGCCCCACCGCATTCCTGGCCCAGCCCAACCCAGCCCAGCCCACCCCTGCATGTAGTATCCTCCAGTCCCTCCCCTGGTCCCAGTGATCTCAGGCTGGCCTGAGTCCCCGTGTCCTCTGCCCAGGGCAGGAAGCAGATGAAGGGCTACAAGGACCAGGTTTCTTTCCCTCCTGTCCCCCACACTCCCCAAGGGACTCTCTGAAAAGGTTTCTGGAATGAATGAAAACATGAGTCCAGTGCAGGACAGGAGTTACCAAGTCGTGGGCCCTAGGCAAGGCCCGGGCAACACAGCAGCTCAGGCTCCCATCCAACCAGGGAGGCGGGTGCCATGACCACCACTTTCCAGATAAGGAAACTGAGGCTCTGGAGGAGTGGTGACTTGCCCAAGATCTGACGGACTTGGCAACCCCTGCCTTTAACTCAACCTCTCTGGAATGGGGGTGCAACGTGCAAGGAGAGGCTGGGAGTGCAGGGCCCTGCCAAGAGAAGCCTTGAATATCAAGCTCATAGTACGATGTTGTGGAACTGGTGAAGGAGGAAGTGACTGATCCACCTTAGGACAGGGTGGCCAGGAGCCTTCTGCCAGAGGAGCCTGCCCCAGACCTCCCATCCGCCCAGGGAGAAGTACTCACTTCAGGCTTAAGTCAGCTGCTGTCAGTTATTCAACAGCACCCCTACAGATGCCCCATCTGTGGCAGGCTCCTTTCCTCCTCACCCTCTAGTTAGGTTACCACCTCCCTCTTCTAGGTCTCATTTTTCCTTGGTTTAGGACTCAGTTCCCCATTCTAGCACTGTAGTTCCTGGGTCCAGGTCAATCTGTCCCCCTCGTTTTAAACTCTGGCAGGCCACCCCGTGGGGTTCTTGTGCTCAGTGGCGGCACACACCCCTCCATCCACCTACACCCTCCTTCGTACAGAGTTCGTATCAAGTTTATCCCTCTTGATAAACACGCTCCCTGCCTCGAGCACTACTGCGTGCCGGGCCGCGCATGAACCGACCCACTCAGTTGTCCAGGAGCCCCACTGACAAGAGATCTCCGAGTCTCGGAGAGGTTCAGAACTGGCCCAGAATCGTTCTCGCCCTGCTCCGGCGGTAAGCACAGGTCCTGTTTTCCCCTCCAACCCGCCTTGCCCTAAAGAGAAAGAGCTCAACAGCCAGGTGAGGCACTATTATGGCCTCCTTTATCCGGAGGAGTAAACTGAGGCCAGGAAGAGCAGTGACTTGCTTCGTGTAGCCCGGAAGGCTCGAGACCCTCTGTCCCCTCTTCCCGAGGACGGAGGGGCGATGCCCAGAGCTGTAACCACCAGGGGTCTCAGTTTCTAGCAGGCTGCGCAGTGTACCTCCAGCCGCGCCACGCAGGTAGAGATTACGCAAGCGAGCACCGCGCACGCGCGCGCTGTCGGTGGTGCC